GGGCGGGGGCGAGGGCGAGGGGCGGGGCGAGGGCAGGGGGCGGAGGCAGCGAGGCCGTAGTTGCCCTCCCAGCACCAGAGTTAGCTGCAGACCTGCCACCCCGGCCAGGCCCGTCTGGTCGGCTCTTGGAGCCGGGCTCCTGGCCCACAGTGTCCTGCCTCAGCCTCGCGCTGTGCTGCCCGCACCCTGCAAGGCCGAGCGGCTCCCGGGTGCGCCCTGTGCATGGTCCCCGCGGTGCCCCAGGAGGCCTGGGCTTGCGGGCGACGCGGTCCTCAGAGGCCTCCGCCAAAGCAAGCAACTCCACAGCAGCCCTAAACCCGCGCCACCCCCAGGGGCGCTTTCCCTTGAGAGGCCTGGGGTCGTCCAGAAGGGACCGCCCGCAGCCTGGGACGCACCCCTGCGGGGCAGGAGGCCATGAGGAAGCGCAGAGCCGCGGGGAGGAGCGGGCCGCGAGCGAAGAGGGCGCCCGGGGCTCCGCTCGCCGGGCTGCCGCTGGACGCTTCGCCTTCCGCGGCCGGGTTTCCTAGGAAGATGCGCGATTGTTGTCGCCGCGCTAGCCCGCAGGGAGCCCACACTGCAGGTAACGCAGGCAAAGGAGCTGGTGGCTGAAGAGGCTGAGGAGTGGGCGAGTTGCTGCTCGGTGAGGAGGCGTCAGCGCCAGGCGAGGGCCCTTCCACCAACCAGGAAGCGGATCCAGCGACAGTTTAAGGTTCCACCGATTTCTCCGCAATTACTGGTGATGATGCTACAAAGCAAGAGGCCTGACCAGAAGCCTGACCTCCGAGTTGCGCCGCGGGGAGGGGGAGGCCAGCGCGGGGTCCGGCTTGGCCGTTGGGTCCCTGGGGCAGGGACAAGTCCCAGGGTAGCCCTGCACTGAGGTCTACTGGCCGCAGCCTTGGTTTGACTGACTGACTCTGTAGTAGGATGTGCACCTGTCCAGCAGACACGTTCCACAGTTTCTATCCTGAAACCACTGGGATCGCTTCTGAATGGAAGAAGAAAGGCCCTGCAGACACTGGACCAAGGGTATTTTGTGAAGCAGGAAACGTATGTCTTAAGTGCAAATGTGGAAGAAATTCAGCCTCACTAGTGACAAAAGAAATCCTAAGGGAAGTAACGATGTTGCTGTTAGCGAAGCTCACTGACATAAACATTTTCGGGGGTACTGGGAACCGCACTCAGGACCTCGAACTTGCCAGGAAGAGGCTGTGCTCTGAGCTGTACCCCTGGCCTGATGATGTGAAAGTTTTGGCAAGAAAGGGTGTCACACCGTGTGCCTGGCTGTCCCCACAAAGCCTCACATCAGAGTCATCTGGGTCTGGGGTGAGTTATGTTTGGGTGAACCGTCACTGGCTGGCTTGGTGTTGCCCCAGCCCCAGCAGCCTAGACAGGATGCAAAAGGAGCAGAAAGATGCCGTGAAGGCCCCTTGCTTTGCTCCTTTCTACCCACCATAAGCTGTTTCTCCCCTGCAATGCCTTCTGCCATCCACCCTGCGCTGGAGCCGGCTGACTACGGACTGAGGCCCCGACAAACTGGGAGCTGCAGAAACCTTGTCTCCCTTGGCTTTGAACACTGGGTATTTTGTCTCAGAAAGGAGAAACCTAGCCAACACGGAAATTCAGTGTGAGGCAAGGGGGTCGTTGCTGGGACTGAGTGTGACCATGTGATGCTTGCAGGAGGAGTGTGGCAGGGTCCCAAGAGGTCAGCTGAAAGTGCAGAGCTGAGCAGCTGAGGCTGCATTCGGTGGAGGCCTGGTCAGAGCTCAGAGCGCCAGAACATGATGGCAGTGACTCAGGGAAGGACCAAGCTCGGAGGCTTCTTGGGAAGGAGGGCTGCATTGGTCACTGGGCTCCAGGGGATGGGCTTAGGGCTGGGCAGAAAGTTGGTCTGCATTTTGCTCGTGTCCAGAGACTCTGCCTGAGACTGAGGTTAAAGGCAACAAAATTAACGACTAGTTAATTTTGTAGAGAATTTCAAGGCAGCCTCATGTTGAGACTGTAGTGTGGCTGGGGAGAGGGTCAGCTAGATTTGTGTTGAGAATCAAGAGCAGAGGGCCCAGCAGGAGGATTTAAATGTGGATTTGGCCAGAAAGGAAAGTATAGTTGTGGACTGCCAGGATGCAACAGAGGAGAAACTGGTCACTGCAAAGACTAACAGAGAAAATAAGTATTTCAGAAGAAGACAAAAGAAAAGTTGGCCTGAGGACATCACAAGAGCCAGCAGGACAGCAGCACTTGAACCTTAGGGTTGCAAAGGTGAAGGACTGCTAATTTAGGAAGGGAGCCTTAGAGTGTCATGCTTCATGATGGGGGCAGCTAGACAACTTGCTCCTCAGAGTTAGAGCCAGAGCGCTCAGCGAGCAGGCGCTCCCAGCAGCTAGCGAGAGGGAAGTGTGGCCGCAGCTCCAGGGGGCCGCAGAGCTTGGCGTTGTCCCTGACGCTGGCTTTGGGTGCGTCAGGATGCAAGCATCATGGGGTCAGGCAGACGTCCGCCCAGAGGTCAGAACAAGGCCTGGGCAGGGTGACCCTGAGAAGGCAGTGTGCAGCTGCGAGTGTGGAGCCACGGGCGCCACAGAGGCCCGAGTGGGGAGAAGCCAGGAGTGTGGGTCGTGCGGAGACCTGGAAGGAAGGAGCAGAGGGGTTCAAAAGGGAGACCTGGGAGCCACGCCCACCAGAAGTGCCACTGAGGTGGAACCACCCGGGTTCTTTAGGTTTCGCACCCTGCCACAGATCCTTCGATGCTGGACAGGAAGCTATAGGACTTCATGTCTGTCCTGCTGGATTTTGAACTTCTTGGTTCCCATTCCTTTGCGTCTCCCTCTGTAGCTTTTGGGATGGAAATATCTAACTTGTGCCAGGAATGTTGGCCATGTTTAACTTTCTTTTCGTTTGTGCAGGGGCTCACAGCTAAGCGTTTACCTTAAATGACCTGAAGCCCGGGACTTTGGATTTGACCTTTTCAGCAGTGCTGAAACTGCTGCGGCGTGGGCAGCTTTTGGAGATGGACTAAATGCCTTCAGCATAAAGAGATGTGCCTGAGTCTTTCCGGGGTTGGGTGGAATGCTATGGCTTGTGTCTAGGTGTCCCCCAAAGCCTCGCACAGTCATAGGTGGGGCTTTTTTCAAGCTGGGGGACTTTAGAGCATGTGCTGGAATCATGGCCCGAGGCTAGGATTAAGGGTGCTAGGATTAAGGCTCAGTGAGTGTTCACCAGTGCACAGATTGGTGCGGCACCGCCCAATCCTGGAGCCTGCACCTAGGAGAGAGGCAGACAGAGGCCCATCTTGTCTTTTGCTTACTTCGCCACCTTCAGCCCACTTTGAGCCATAACCCCTCTGCCATACCTCCCTGCCTTGGATCCAGCCAGTTACAGGCAGAAACAAGTCCGTACTGTGAGCTCAATCAGCATTTCCTCCTTTAACTGTGGGTATGGGCATCCTGTCACAGCAATGAGAATAGTACCTGGGATGAGGTAGACACCCTTCACGGGGCCCAGGAAAGGCCGTACCCAGATAGAGCCTTTGTCATCTCAGGAAGCAGTAGCTGAAGGCAGGCAGCTGTCACGACCTTCTCACCCTTCTCCCCTTCAGGAGCTATAAATCAGTCCTTGCTGCTGTGCACAGGTGCCAGAAGGGACCCCACAGCGCCCCCCATTCATCACCACGGGGTAGTATGTTATGCCAGTGCCCCCTTGCCTGCCTTTTCTGGTTTCCGATGGACACACACAGGGCTTCCTGTGCCCCCACGGACCTGACCTTGAGCAGATCTGCTCGCCAGGCTCCTGTTGGCCTGTCTCTTATCCCAGGTGCATCGCCCAACCATGCAGCGGGGAAGGGAAGGACGGAATCCTCCCCCCCTGCTTCCCCTATCTGTGCAGTAGAGAGGAATGTAAACAGATATATCACTTATGGAAAATAAATTGTATGATCTTCAGAGAATACACCAACATTTAAAATGTTTATGCCTTATGTGGCAATTGAACCTGTTAAGAAATAATCAAGCATGAAAATACAAATGCACACAGGGAATTACTGCCGCAGTGTCCATAGGAGTGCAAACCTGAACAAGATCCCGGTAAGGGCTGGAGAGTGAGTTTTCTCACTGCGGGGCCCAAATCCTGAGCCCTGGATCTACAGGAAGAGCGCTCTCCTTTGGCGCACGGTCTCAGAAGGCTCAGCCCACTTCCTAGGCAGAAGCATCAGGGTGAGAGGGTGTGGCCAAGCAGACGCTTGCTGTTCCTGGTGGCCGGGAAGCAGGGCCCAGGAAGGGCCTCGGGGGCCTGCGCCACACCCGCGCCGGGCCTGCACAGCGCTCTGCGCCTCTGCCCCGCCTCGCGCATCCGGCCAAGCTGACCATCACGGCGGCATCACCAACATAGGCGGGGAGGTGCGGGCCCTGGCGCGGGCGCCGCCTGTGCAGGCCCGCCGGGGCTGGCTGAGATGGCCAGACGGTGACAGAGCGGCGGAAGGAACAAAACGGCTGACAGGTCGGGCGCAGGTGTGGCAAGAGCCTGTTAATACGGCGGGGTGACGTTAGGACGCCGTTTCTCTACCAGGCATTAAGAGGATTAAAATAGGGGAACTTCCCAATCGTGGCGGTTGTTTTTGCCATTACTATTACGCTTATACCTTCAACATTTTAAAGGCTCGCCAGCTCCTATGAATTACGAAGTAAAAGTAGCTAAAAATAGATTTTAGCACATTGACTTTGGAGTTGGCTCCTCTGGGCCTGAGTGAAGCCCTGGGCGAGGTAATACCGGAGGCGGCCACGCGAGGGCGCAGGCGCAGCGGCCACAGCGGGCGCTTCCAGAAGTGTCCAGCAGGGGGCGATGCCGCCGGCGGCGACCGGAAGCCGGGCTGGCGGTCTCGGCGCCTGTTCCGCTGCTCCCGCTTCCGCTACCGCCGGTAGTTGCCCGCTTGCTCCTGCCCCTGTGGTCGCCTGCTGCCGCGATGCCGCTGGAGAACCTGGAGGAGGAGGGTCTGCCCAAGAACCCCGACCTGCGCATTGCGCAGCTGCGCTTCCTGCTGAGCCTGCCGGAGCACCGCGGGGACGCGGCGGTGCGCGACGAGCTGATGGCGGCCGTGCGCGACAAC